AGTACATTGGTGGTACTGGCGAATATTCTGGAGAAAAGGCTTCTGGTGTATACTCTGGAGAAGCTGGTGTGTATTTTGGAGAAGTTAGTGTATACTCTAGTGAGTCAGGTATGCAGATAGGAGATGTAATGCAATCTCCTTCCCTAACTTTTGAACCAACTTCACCCTCATCTTCCTCGTCATCACTCAAAACAATGATGGTTAGGCAAGGGGCCAAAGTAAACTTTTCCTCCCTTCTTTTATCAAAGTATGTCTGCAACTCCACAGATTGAAATTTTGAAGGTAGAAATTCCTCCAATGTGACTGGGACAAGGAGACCTTGCTCTAACTGCTCATCAGGGACCAATTTCTCCCCTTTTTCCTTCTTTGGGTTCTTCTTTCCTTTTCTCTTACTTACTTTGGCTTTTTTCTGTTTCCTAGAAACTTTTGGTTTTTGCTTTTTGGAAACTTTTGGCCCTTGTGTTGTTGAATCAACCACACTTCTAGCTTTCACTGTGGCATTTTATTTTTTCTTCATGCTTTTTGACTGATAAACAACCCATTCACCTTCATTATCATTGTCGATAGTGATTGGGTTAGCAGATGCTTTCTCTTGAGGAGGGAGTTCGATAATTTTAGAGTCCAAAAGTTCCTGAATTTTATCTTTCAGAACAAAGCACTCTTTTATCGGATGGCTAATCAAACGATGGTGGGGGCAATACTTTGGATCATTGGTCTTTCCTACCTCATGTGGTCTTTTCACCTCAGGGAGAGCAATCAACTTTTGCTCCAACAGATCTTCAAATAGGTCTTCGACCAGATCATCCATGAAAGAATACTTCTTCTCCAACCTCTCTTTCATAGTCACATTTTTAAATTCCTTAGGCTTTTTAGCCCCTACTATAACGGGACCCTTCTTTCTAGTTTCTATTGTAGCTGCAGTCGAAGACTCAACCCTTTCAACGGCCCTAGGCCTCCTTCGTTTAGCTAGATGCAGCTCCAAATCATGAGCTTTAGTGCATAGATCATTGAATCCTTCAAAAGTTTGAGCCATATGAGCCGTAGAGAGCTCATGTCGGAAGTTGTAAAGGCACATCCAAATTAACTCTAATTGTGTAAACTTTTGAGGACAAGCAAATGTCAAAGCGCGCCATCTTGCAATGAAATCTGTAACAGACTCATTGTCACGTTGCTTGGTCTCAATCAATTCTGGTACTCCAACTCGCCTTTGTGTGTTGCAGAACTGTTTAAGGAACTCCTTCACCATGGAATCCCAATTTAGGATTGATCCCTCAGGAAGGTTAGCATACCAAGTAAACGCAGAACTTTCAAGTGATTGAACAAATAGCTGTAGACACAGGGCCTCATTCTGGGCTATTGGCCCGCACCTTGAAAGAAAATGAGCCACATGTTGTCTTGGACCTCCTGTTCCATCAAACATTTTAAAATCTGGTTGGGAAAAACCAGAAGGGAATGGAACAGCATTTACCCATGTTGGGTAAGGTTTTGTAATTATTCGAAAGTTCTCATCATCTTTTTCTTTGACTTTCTTTACTTGTCTCCTCACCATATCATCAATCATGGCCATGAGCAATGGATTCATACCACCACTGGTTAGATCGGAGTAACAAGGACCATTGCCCCCTGGGGCTAGTGTGCTTTGTATGCCTACGGATGTCCCCACAACAGGTTGTGTCATTTGTTTGGGTGCACTTCCTGGTCCTGTCATTTGGGCCTGTAACTGTTGCATTTGCTTCAACATAGCAGCCATTTCCCGTTCTCTTCTCTCGAGTTGTTCTTGTAGGGCCACCACTTTTTCCTTGAGACCTTGGTCTTGTTGGACCTACGAATTTTCACATTCTTTCTCAACCTCAGTCATCATAACTGTGACTTTGTTGATATCTTTCAATTCATTCTTTCCAATATTCGTTGAAACAAATGAGATAGAATCATCTTGTTCGTATAAAGGATTATCAACCCCCACAACATTACTCATATTTGAAGCATCTGACTGTGATGCTTTGTTTTGAGCCTGACGGGTTATGGACCTTGTTACAGGCCCTTTTCTTATTCCTTCCATAGATAGTTCAACCAAAGTAGAAATATTTCCCAAGGGTTGCTTACCCTCCTCCACCTAGGATTTTCCAACAAAGACAGGACTTTCAATTTGTTTTGGGGGTTTATCTTTCGATAGAGCCCTTTCAATAGCTCGTATAACATTTGTTGCCACTGTTCTTAGTTTTAGTTTCTTTAAGGCCTTATTTCTTCTTCGCCTTTGTCTTTTCGAAACTGGACTGGATGACATATCAAGTCGAGCCCCTAGGGGCATAGAAGGAACCGTTTGCGTTTTTGCAAATTCCTCATGAATTTTCAAAATAGTCCCTACATTTTTAGAGCGGACTAATTGATGTTGATTCAAATCCCGTTAGGCCAACAGGTGTTCCTTATTCGAACCTTGTCGGGCCAACGGGTGTTCCTTATTCTGTTGGGCTAACGGGTGTTCTTTATTCGAACCCTGTCGAGCCAACGAGTGTTCCTTTGGCTCTTGAGAGTTGACTGAGATTTGGTTTGACCGATTTTGTGCTCTGAATAGAACTATTGGTTTATAGACCGCAACTGTTTTTTCAACAACAGGGGCCTTTTTTCCATCAACAGGAGTTTGGGTCATTACCCTCCTCCCAATGGCCCTAATGATGGCCATGTTTTCAGCAGAGGCTTTCTTCTGGGCAAACTCCACCATTTTAATAGAGTCTTCTACCCTTTTGAGCAGTTGGGCCACAACATTTTTTGTTGCCCCCGTTGAAGCTACAACAAAAGTCATAGTTGCAAACTGATTAGCCTCCTTTGCCTTAATTAGAAAGCTCTTCGTTCGGGCTGTGGCCCTCACAGTTACGTACTGCTTTGACGCTTTCACATAATCTTCGGTAATCTTTCTCAAACTTTCAACTTTCTGGAGAAGTGTGACTTTCTTCGTCACACCAGTTACCTTCGGGACAGCCAAGAGCTTTTGCTCCGGAGCCCCTTGGGTAATAGGGAAAAGAAGTGCATCTTTCCAGGATTTCGCTGGTTCTACCTTTGGGACAGCCAAGAGCATTCGCTCCGGAGTCCCTTGGGTGATGGGTGCTATCTCTACCCTTGGTGATTTCAGAACCACTGGAGTGTAGATTTGTCGCTTGACAGTTGCTTCAGCATTCCTATAACAAAAGAATACGTCAGTAAGTTTCAACTATATATATATTTTTTTTGTTCTTCAAAAGATAGGAGGAGAAATCTGTCCCACTGGGCGTGCCAGAATTTGTAGACACAAATTTTAAAACATGAAGTGTTTCAACACATTTCAAAATTTTATGTTACAAATGTCCACTGTTTAGTTTTTTGACTAAACAGTGTTGATTATTTGAATAGCAGGTTCTTATTTTCGATCTGTATTTCAGATCGTTAATTACACATTTTATACAAATGAAACCTCCGATTAATGAAGAACAAAATAAACAACAAAAGACAATTTAAAAAAAAAAGAAATATTTTATTGAAATTATTATGGGTTTTGAACCCTCGAATACAAAAATACAATTCTCGGGTTTGGAACCCTTTACCTATTCATCGCCATTAGCGTAGGCTCTTCAGTTCTCTAGGCTTCTCTTCTTCTTTTTTTGTAATGACTTCTTTAGCTCTCAATTTCTTTCTCTCTCTCTATGATCTTTTCCCTTCTGATTTTCTGATCCCCCGTCTTGTGTGATGGTCCTCATATTTATGGAGGGCCATCAGGTGATAGGAATGCTTCATCTTCAATTTGAATTTCAAATTGAATGATATTTAAATTTCGAATTAAATGATAGCGCCATTTAAATTTTGAATAACAGCGTTATCTAATTAATCGCATATCTGATTAACCGAATTGATCTTTGGGGTGTCATCCTGTGTGGTGTCCTTGCTGTAGGCTCTACATGTGTCATCTTTCGTAGGCTCCACGTGTCATTTGAGCATCTTGAATAACATCGTTAAGTTACGACGTTGTTTTATTTATACACTTCAACGGAGCAAGTTAATCATTTTGAGAAGTGATTGCCTACAACAATCTTATCGTAGGCTCTATGTGTGTCATTGACTGTATTTGAAATTTAAACATAAATTTGGTTTAAAATTTATGTGCTAACAATGTCCAACCAAAATTTTAGGATGCATTTAGAGGCTCCCTGAATATGGCAATAAGATCACTAAAATTTGGCAGTTTTGTCCCTTGTATTGATATCAAATGGAGAAGGCATTTTCTTCGAAAGTTGCAACTTCAGATGGAAGTTTAAGAATAGAATTTGGTGTTCTGGCCACTGATTTACAACTAGATTAAGCTTACCAAAACCAGACAAGTTGTTTTCCAGATTCATAATTCTGAGAATCTCAAACATTCTTCAAATAATTCGGTCCAATAATGTTTGAACTTGGAAAAAGGTACTTAATGTTGTCTTTCAATGAAGAACTTTCAAGATTAAAAAAAATGCAGACTTTCAACCAAAAAAGTAAGTTGTAAAAATTGAGTGCAACCCTTAAGCTATCGAAGTCCAAATTTCCAACCTTGCACCAAGAGTAATTTAGCTTTTATAGTGGTCATCAGTTGCCTCTTAAATCAGCTATGAACCAAAAAAACTTGCAAGCTAGCTGTCATTCTAAGCATAAACACCACACACACACACACACACACAAAAAAAACCAGACAGGATTACTGGGAGAAAAACTCCATAACAAATGGAATACAGATTAGAAAAACACTTCTGAAGTCTGCTGAGTTTTGCAGTCATTGAGAATGGATCCAACCATTCCTAGGTTAAAACAATTTAAGAGGAAGCAACCAAAGTAATCGAAAACAGACAAATACACTAAAGAGAAAAAAGGTTAAGCATTGAAAAACATCATGGTTTCTCACAAAATTAATATCAGAGAAGAGATATAAAGATGTCTAAAAGGATAATGAGATAGCAACTAAAGGGTGTTCTACATTTACAAAAACAAGTAGAAGAGTTTACCGTTCGAGTACTATATGCCCAAGAATTTTGACAAACCATAGACTTTTCTCCCTTCTCATTCTCAAAATTTATCTCAAACATTTTAGCAAAATTTTGACCCAAGCAATGTGATGTGGCACCTTGTATACCTCGCCCAGTGTTTGGGATGAAGGCCTAGGAAGCAATTGTAAACAAATGATGATATGAAAAGATATACTTAAAAACACCAAGGGAAAGCCAAACAAGAAGGTAATACTAATACCTCAACACTTGTCGTATAAAGGCCACCAGCAAATTTCTCTAGCTTACTCTTCTTACCCTTCACAATAGGTATTGCCAGATATTCTTCATATATTCGTCTATATAGTTCCAATATCTCAAGGACCTAGGGATTAATAATTACATTCCAGCACCAAATTAGAGTTAGAAAGTAAAGCTTCCAATACAACAAACCACTACAAAAGACAAGATGTGAAGCATCAAGCATGACAGTAATAAGGCAAGAAGAGTGCAAATGTGAGCGATTCCATACCTCAGCATCAGCCTCTGCCTTTGTTGCAAAAGCGGTATGCCCTTCTTGCCAAAGAAACTCTCGACTCCGACAATCACAAGAGCAAAAACATACATGCCAAGGTTTGAAATTCACATATCATTTGAACAATGTGAATTTTGTAAACATTCTAGTATAAATATGCTAAAAAAATAAGTACAACCACATAAAGATATTGCTACTGAGAGTGTTAAACACTGATCAACAGCTTTTTGAGCAATATAATCCCAAAACATGCAAACTGCCAGGGAACACATAATCAACACAGCATATCATATCCCTTCCATATCAATGGATAACAAGGGCAAATGACAATTTGTCATACACTAACAAATTGCTTCCCTCTATCGGATCTAAGCATAGGGCAATCGCAGAGTGAGCGGATTTTCTATTATTAAGAAGGGAAAAAAAGAAAAAACTTAAAATGGATGTAAGACTCATTATATAAATTGATTAGGATTTAGGAGCTCTTTTCTCTCCATATCAGCATAACAGTGAGTAAATCATTTCAAGCTTAGACGACTACACTGAGTAGTGGAGAAGTCTTTCTTCTGAAATCAGAGTGAAATGTTAGAAGAAATGCTTTCACATAAAATTTTATGGGGATAGAAATAAGTATAGACATGATATATTTTTCTTTTAATAAGATAATTAGAAGGGGAGCAACCTTGGACACACAGAGAATACAAAATCTAAAGAAAAAATGTATAACAAAACCAAAAAAAACAATGATGAACACCTTCCTGGCATGGGAGGAAACTGCAATAACAATAGGTTAAATGGAAGAAACACAACTTCTTGCAGTTTTCTAAAGGTAATTGAATAACAATGAAACGATATTGTTAAAAATAGTCAATCAAAGGCTAACAAGTGTGCGCTTTCAATAAAATAATCTGATTGCAAAATGGACGCCAACAGGTCTGTAAGGGAGTACCTAATGAATGGAGTAGGATGACTGAACTCCCATCGAACAACATTACACCATTGGTTTAGCTTTAATGGCAAGTCACGGTGCCCTCTTATCCATTTCGAGTAATATGGATACATAACAGTCTCACTTGTAGGACGAATAGCAATGGGCACTTCTAACTCAGATTCTCTAGATTTTGTAACCCAAGCAACCTAAATAAAATTTTTGAAAGAAATAAAACAATATAATCCTAAAAGAGGTGAGAAAGAAAAAAGTAACATTGCTTCTCATCATATATGTACAACAGGAAATACGCTATTAATGAAAAACAGCTCAAGAAATTCAGCAAAACTAGACACCAGCAGACAAATAAACATTTTTTTCTTTTCCGTTGGGATCATTAAAAAACACACAAGACACCACCCTTATATCAACTGAAACTTGAATCATGTACCATTCCCAATGACAGATCAACTTTATTATATCATACTTGCACCACAACCATACATTACAGAGAGGAGAAAAAATAACAATAAGATAAAACTGTATCACTAAGGAAAAGGAGAAACAAATACATGCTGCAAATCATGGCTCCTAGCATGATACACCTTTAAAATTACTAATAATCCAAAAATACTCTAGAAAAGACAGAAAGCATTCAAGAATTTTATTGATTTGATGAAGGCAGAAAAGAAGTGTAGGCTTTTCCAGTTAGTAAGACGGCTTACACTAGGGCCAAGTTTGGCTATCCTAAATAAGTACACACTTTTTATCTTTTTATCTTTTTTCTATCACATCATCTCTCTAATTTTCTGCACATCATTTCGTAAAAAGACAAAAAGTGCACTTATTTAGGTCATCTCAAACAACCCCCTAGGGCTATTTGAGTACTCACCTCAGGGGCAAACCCCTCAATGTGATCTTTTTCTCGCTGCAAGACTCCCAGAGAAACAAAAAGAGGGAAATAGCAATTTTTTATCTTCATCTTCTTTATTTCACCATCAAAAAAGGCCTGCACAGTTGACAGTATTGAGATTTGAATAGTAAGAAGAACAAAAGACAAACTACGAAGGGGGAGCATGAACTGAATCAGCTGCATATGATTATTTTGAACATAGCAAAGAAGCAAAATCACATCAAATCTTAGTTGCAGGAATCGCGCAACTAGGTGGCGATTCCTAGCAAGAAACGTGTAAGAATCGCGTTTCTGTGGAGAGAGAAACGCGATTCAGTGCAAGATGGGGTCGTAAAGGAGAGAGAGAGAGAGAGAGAGAGAGAGACAAACAGACAGACAGAAACCCTAACCTTCGACGTCGACATGAGAGGAGAAAGGACTTCGATTATTTTCGTCACTCTCGCGATCGTCTTCGTCACTCTCTCGATCGTCTTCGTCTTCATCTTCATCACTTTCTCTGTGCTTCTCTCTCTCTCTTTCTCTTCGTCTCCGCTTCTGCTCTTCATCTCTGTCGTTGTTCTCTTCACACACTCTCTCTTCGTCTCTAGATAGATCATATATAATATATAATATATATAATTTATCATATAATATATATATATATATATAATACATGATAAAGTCATTTTAAAAAATATGTATAATTTATCATATATAATTTATGTAATAAATTTTATAAATTATATTTTTTATCATATATAATAAAATTTCTAATTGTTATTTCTTAAAATATCATATATAATAATAATTTTTGTAAATTATTATTTCTTAACTTTTTAACATATAATAAATAAAATAAATCATCCAATTATTTAAAATAAATCTAATTAAACCATATATAATAAAAAAAATTATAAAATAAAATATCTAATTTTTCTTTTTATTTATTTTAACATAATTTATTATTCCTTATCTATTATAATTTTTTATTTATAATATATATGAATTAAAAATAAAAAAATAAATTAACAATAATACATTATTAAAATATATATATATATATATATAGCTCCCCGAGACGCTCCCAACCTAAGAAGTTTCTATTATTAAAATAAAAATTAATTATCGGATTTGTTAAAAAATTTTAAAATAAAAGATCTAATTTTTATTTTTTATTTATTTGAACATAATTTATTATTCATTATTTATTATAATAAATAAAATATAATTAATAAAAATAATATATAAGCGCTCCTAATTTACGACTTCTCTAAGTGGCCACGTTCCCCTCCTCCCGCTCCCGCTCCCGCTTCGTGCAACTAAGCACCAAATAAAAAGTAAACTGAAATTAGAGACAATAATCTAAAACTTCAGCACCACAGAGAAACCAATGTAAAGTGATTATTAACTCACCAATTGTTCCAAAAGCTTAAGTTGTTAGGAACTAGGCCCACCAATGTATATCAAACTATCCAACACCCTCCCTCACGTACAACCCCGTCTTGCACATGAAGAGACAAACCAAACCAAACCAAACTCCGCCAGGGTTGTTAACAACTCCGCCGGTCTCAAGCCCGGGTTAAGGAGGAGGGTTGTGTGTTAGGTAGTCGACAGCCAACTCATAAATCATATTGCAAATTAATAATAATGACAATTCCAATAACAAAATTTGAATCAAACAAACTCAAGAAACTCTAACCTTGTGCAAAGATTGTTGCCAGTAACTAATGAAAGAGCAAGTGTGTGTTAATTTAATAGTGAATTTAGTGAATTTTTAAAATATTTTTTTTCGCAAAAATTATACTTTTTTATATGTATTTATGTTAAGTGTGTAACGCCCTCAAAATAATGCATAAAACCCATCACTAGACAAGCAATTATATAAAGAAACCAACCATTTATATTCATCAGAGTAGTTCTTATAATAGTATTACATGTTAACAACAAAAGCAAATGCCCTATGGGCTTACAGCTTTCCAAGTCAACACCTGGTTACACAAAAGAAGAGTACTAACATGTTAACAACAAAAGCAAATGCCCTATGGGCTTACAGCTTTCCAAGTCAACACTTGGTTACAAAAAAAGGAAGAGTACTAACTCTATACAAATAAGCCTTTGGCTTGATATACATGTAATACAAACAAAATAAACAAAAGAGTCTTCAACTCTCATCATCGTTCAAGCTATGTCCTTGGAGGTGGCATGCTACCTGGACCTGAAAATGATGTCCCATATAGGGTGTGCCAACGCCCAGTAGAAATATGCTAATCACAATATGAGCAATAACTACGACGTTAGCAATTGATAAATGTTCAAGTTCCATAAATCAATTCATAATCCATTTCCATTTCATGACCGCTATGTTCATGTTTCATTTCAGTTTCCATTTCTTATCAATTTCACAATTTACATCAACGGCTCAGAACCTAACCAACTACTTATATGAGACAGTGACTCGTATTAGACATTTCCCATTTTTGCAATAGATAAACATACTAGTTGTATCAACACTTCAACAGATAAGCATACAAGCTGTATCCACATTCCAACAGATATGCATATTAGCTATATCAACACTTCCAAAGATAAGCATATGAGTTGTATCAACACTTCCATAGATAAGCGTATAAGCTGTATCAACACATTAACTGACAAGCATATGAGCTGTATCAACGGAGTCCATCATCTATCTCCTCCCAGACAATATCCGGTTTAGAAATCTATCCCCTATCTTCCCCTAAACCGTGGAGTACATCCCCTATCTCCTCCCATACACACAACGTATATACACATAGGTCATATACACAATCAATCAATACATAACGTTAATGTATTCTATCAACCGTTATACTCTATGACATATCCAATTGATTAGTTTTAGTTTGCCTATTCATCATACATTGTCTACAACAATCAAAACTATCCTCCACCGGTAGTCCAAGCAATTATTTCTAAACAGATAATAAAAGATCCAACAGATAAAATATCAATATTTTCAAAAGTGAGCGATTAACAAATCCAACTCCACTATTCTACTATAAAATGAGTCAATTTCATTATTTCCAGCTCAATTCCATATAACCACCATTTCTTCAAATTAATCATACCAATTAATTTATACAACCAATTAGGGTTTTCTACCCCATTTCCCAATATTGACCCAATGGTCTATATATCAACAACCAACAACAATATCATTATTTTGAAACTCAAAATACACATTCTTGAAATCAAAATAACAAAACCCTCTTTCAACATTTTGAAACCCTAAGTCCCAAAATTACCCAACTTCAACACTTTATCAAAACAACCAAAAATCTATGTCAAAGACCATAAGAGTGAGTAGGAATCCCTACCTCAAATTCGGAGCTCAAGGAAAGAAGATGAAGAAACTCAACGTGCTCCAAAACTCAATATTCTCGGATCAAAGTGTAGCCCTCGACGATCAACCCAACTTTTACAAAGGCCGAAGGAAAAGGAAACACTCTAACTAGATCAAACCCTAGAGAGAATGGAGTTTCTAGAGAGAGGAACTCTCAAAATGTCTTTTTAGAAAGCAAGAGAGAGAGAGAGAATGTAAAAAGTGATTTTAAAATGCCCAGCTACCAACTGATATACGACATTCCCGCTCGAGCGGAGAACACAACGCTCGAGCGTCAAGAACAAAAAAAACTAGGTCCGCTCGAGCGCAATAAGGCCCGCTCGAGCGCCAAGACACAAGAATAAAGTACATCCACTCGAGCGTGAAAACCAGTCCGCTAGAGCGTAGATTTCCCCCTCCCAGAACTTACACCAAAAAGTACTACCCGCTCGAGCGCCAGAGTACCCGCTCGAGCGCCACCGCTCGAGCGCAAAGGAACCCGCTCGAGTGTGAAAAACATGCTTACAGAAGTTCTGCAGAGCACCAAAATACTGGGAGCGTGCAATCTCCGCTCGAGCGCAAGAAGACCCGCTCGAGCGGACCTCCTAAAAACTGGGCAACAAAGAATTAAAACCAAAGCCCAACCAACCTGTAACAAGTCTGCCCAATACATCATAAAACTCAATCAAGCGGAATTAAAGGATGACAACAAGGTATACCACCACCAACATCACGGAACCCAAGTCCGGAACGCAACAGAACAGTAAAGGGACAACCGAAATCGCTATAAGTGTGTCTAAAAATTTTAAAAATTACTTAAAATATTAAAAAAAAATTAGCAAAAATAAAATAAAATATGAAAAATAATAAAATAAAATTTTCTGAAAAATATTTTTGGAAAACCAAAAATGACGCATCACATACATTCACTTATTGACTTTTGTTCCACAGTCAAATCAACCAAATTCTGACACGTGGCCATTCATCATTTTCCACCTAGCTGATTATTTATTTCTACTAGTAATTGCTTCTTCTTCTTTTTTAAATTATTATTATTTTGAACAAAAAGAAAAAAAAAATCATTTTCTATTTAATTCAATCACACGTTCCTCGCTAGCTATAAATTCTCTAAAGCTCCAATCTCAGCACCAGCTTGACATACATACACATATATACCCTTCTGACAATGAATCCTACTTTAAATGGTTCACATGAAGAGACAGAGAGAACCAAATAGAAGGAGAAGCAAACAAACAATCAATCAAAGAAGAAAAAACCAAACAGAGATAAAATACCAAATGCTGATAGAGAGACTTGAACCCAAGGCCTCTCAATATGAGCTCTAATACCATATTAAATAACCAATTGTCCCAAAACTTAAGATAATAGGAAATGGGCCCAACAATATACATCAAGATATCCAACAATGATAACCATATTCTGACGCATACAAGAAATTGGGTTCCATAAACACATAAAGCGCCTTATGAAATAAGAAGCACGGATACGAGTAGCGATATGGGACATGGACACAACACAACATGGACATGCAGACACGACGGGCTTGTTTGGTTTGTGTTTGTAGAGTAGTTTTTGAGATAAAAAGTACGAAAACTTGTTTGGTTTGCCTTTTTTTAGAAATGGTTTTGGAAAATTGTTTTGGGGAGAAAGTTTTAAAAAAAAGTGATTGATTTGATGTGCATGAGAGAGAGAGTGATTTTGGAAAGAAGCAAACCAAACAAAATTTTGAGATTTT